TTTTCGACATAAATTCCTATCACAAAAGTATAGATATATATCATTTTTGTAGCTCGATAATAATAGTATGTCTACATTTATGATCAATCAGTTTTTATTTCTTTTATTTGAGTAAAAAACTGGACTATGAATTTTTCACTTTACCACACTAGTACGGTACGCTACCCCTTCTTCACTTGCTAGGACATCTTAAATCTGAATAATTCCGCACAATCAGAGTGAATTGTGTCGGGATGTATCATGCTTGAAAATCATATTTCATATTCCATTTAGGATTTCTTGGGATTTTCTCTATTCGTTTCTATAAAATAAAAATATGAATATTATTTCAATATACGTGTAGTAAGGACAAATCAGATCATTTGCCCCATAATGTCACTTCGTTTAAAGAACTTTCCAATTAGAGAGCCTGAAAGACAAATTCACTAGCTTGTCAGTGACAATTTGTATTGGAAAAATTTGGAGAAGAGAAATTAAGGTATATAGAAAAAATATAAAATTTTCACTTATCTTTTAGTAGTGAATACCATGTTCTGTCTATATCAACTGAACAAGAAGCAATGAAAATGGTAAATTCAAGATTAATTAATGAAAACATCCTGTAACTCATTTGTTTGCCAACGTCACCAATTGTCAATGAAAACTGAAGAGCTTCAAGACCGATACGACTTAGCTATTGAAATAATCATATCTTATGTTGAAAACGGGAGCAGAATCGGTTCCGAAACGTTCAAAGATAAGTGAAAATTTGATATTTTTTCTATAGTTTCTCTTCTTCAAACTTTTTTCAATACAAATTGTCACTGACAAGCTAGTGCATTTTTCTTTCAGGCTGTCTGATAGGAAAATTCTCTAAACGAAGTGACATTTTGGGGCAAATCATCTGATTTGTTCTCACTACACGTATATTGAAATAATATTCATATTTTCATTTTATAGAAACGAGGAGAGAAAATCCCAAAAAATTTGGAATAATAAATTTTTCATCTATAATTACTCACCAAACAGTCACACTTCATCGACCTCGATATTTAAACCATTATAGTTTATCAAATGGCACCTGTGCTCATCACTATCCTGACCAAAATGATCGAAAAATTGCACTTTCGTGTGCGTACATTTGCACTCGATTTCACGATTTGATAACGAGGTAAGAATCATGCCATTCGATACCAATTGAATGGTAGATTTCAAAAACCTACTTGTGCCACCCAAATCTGAGCCAAATCTATGGCACAGCGATTTATTTGCTGCTTTTATTCCGGACATACTTCCGTCGTGTGATAACTAGTTGAAACAAGAAGCAAATAAAACGGAATGATGTCGCCTTTGCGAATATCCAAACGTGCCGCGATTCAAACTGATCTGAGTTAGTGGCAAAGCGTCAATACTTCCGAGAATATTTCGCCCCCTCTGAAGATAATATCCGAGAGACCAGTGTAAAACGCAACATGTGGATTAGAATACTTGCAGTGTGGGCACCACAAGAGTTTCAAATGGTCCATCGGATATTATTCACGGAAATATTGACGCTCTTCCACTAACTCAGATCAGTTTGAATCGCGGCACGTTTGGATATTCGCTAAAGGGACATTTTTGATTTGCTTTTTGTTTCAACTCGTTAGCACATGACGGAAGTATGGCACAGGTTGATTTTTGAGATCTACCATTCAATTGGTATTTCGTTATCATATTGCGAAATCGAGTGCAATTATCCGCACAGGATAGTGCAATTTTTTATCAATTTTGCTCAGGATAGTGATTGGCACAGGTGCCGTTCGATGAACTACAATGTTTTCACTTTCTTGGAACATATAGCATTTGGTTATCAGATGACGGTAGAAATCTGCTGCCGGCTCGCCTACTATTAGTTTTTGTCTAAAAAATATGAGAGACAATTTAATAATCCAGGAAGACCAAGTGCTACTTATTGTTTCAGTACCTGTGCAATTCATATTCTTTAACATTATTCTGATTATATCTATATACAGGGTGGTCTGTTTTTTAATAGGTACGGAAAATTCAACAGCGTATAGTACTCGTTGAAATAATAAATGAACTTCCTATGAACATATACTTTTGAACGCTTCGTTTTCGAGATATAGGGTGTTCAAATCCATAAGACTTTATGTAAAAAGTTGTTATTGTTGTCAACTTTATTTAAGATAAATTCCGAAAAAGACACTCTCTTCTCAGGATCTTCAGGATGTAAATGTTGTACCGGCATCATATGAAAGGGCTTCCTGTGATCTAAATGTAGTGTTCGTAAAATTTTCGATTTTGAAACCTGAAAAAAAGTCGGAACTATTAGTTTTATTTATGCATGCAATAGTATAAAATGATAACTAGTATTGAACTAAAAAAGAGAACCAAAATTACTGAAAGCATGACATTATATTAGTTTATAAATTACCTGCAACTGTTGAGCTGCTTTCCTAGAACTGATTTGTTGGTTAACATCAAAAAATCTAAGAATGTGATTGTCATCATTTCTTCTCAGTGGGCCATTATTTTATTATGTTCATTATTGCCCCGTAACCCAAACTGACGGAAACGTGAGTGAGTATTGATAAAGACTCGTGTATTAGGTACCCTTCTCCTAGGGAAGCGATTGCTGCCGTTTCCATTACAAAATCTGTAAACGAAATGAATATCTGCATACTCTTCAATACTAAATCCCATAGGCATATTGACAAACGGCAAAATTGGGATAAAATTATTACACTTTTTGATAAAAACACGGAATAACTCCAGTTTGTCATTTCTTTGACAGAACTTCCAGAGTGACAGCACTTATAAACAGTGAACAGTGAGCAACTGAGCATAGCCTTCTTCTTTAATTGATATCAAGTAGTATTATTTAACTAATAAATGTTATAAAATCTTACAAGTGAGCTTTTTTCATTGAAACTTGAAAAATAAATGAAAAATAATTACCCGAAAAATTTGTGTAATTATTACCTTCGCCACCCCAGATTCAGCCGCCACTGAATAGTTTTTATGAATAATTTTTATTCAATCTAATGAAGCTCGAAAAGTTTAGTATCTATGAAAAATTTCGTTAATTTATCTACCGTTTCTATCTTTCGATTAAAAAAATATATTCAGAAGCGTATTTTTGCACCCAATATCTCAAAAACGAAGCGTTTAAAAGTATATGTTCATAGGAAGTTTCTTCATTATTTCAACGAGTACTTAACTCAGTTGAATTTTCCGTATTGGTAAACGGACCACCCTGTATAGTGGCCACCACCGGATCCGAATCGACTCGATTTGTGGATATATCAGAACGAACTGAAGAAACCCTCGATAATGAGACCAAAGTTTCTCGAATTTCGTTAACGAAATTGTAGAAATAGACGTAAGAAAAAAGCTGTTCGCAACTTTCAACAGAAACCTCACGAAATAAATTCCAGAATTTTGTCTTGACCACTTTCATCATCAATATATTTTTCCTAAACCTGTACGGCAAATAGAATCCGAGCTACAGCTAGCGTCTTGTGTTAGTTGTACATCGGGCGTATTTTCTCAGTTGTAGACCGTACCGGTTCCAGTTGATTTTTATCGATTTACCGAAAATTTGTGACAATATTGTCAATGTGTGGCCTATAGAGATAGTATCAGAAATAAACCTTCACTATTGCTTCCATATCAACATATTGATTATGTCACAGAAAGTATGGATTTGATTGATGATTCATTCTATAATTCCCATCAACTGTATGAATATGAAGAATATATCTCAGATGATCACAAAATGTAGTCTGAATATCAATTCACCTACTATACAAAATCGGTTGTAATATGCTGTTTTGATGAATAGTGATTCGGATGTTATTATCGATTAATATTATTATCGTTTGATTGAGAACTTCAATTAGATTCCAGTGAACACAGATGGATCCCAGAGATATAAGAGGACATCACATTCATGCCACACATCTTATCCCTGACTTGAATTGAGAGTCCCACTGAAATCACATTGACTGCTATTTCGGACCGTTTGGGTCATTTTATGATCAACATCATGATACCAAATAAAACTCACAGTACGTATTGAGCGGCACCCCATTCAACATCAGAATTGATCAATTCCGTTTGTTACATAAATAGACAAGAATATGAGGTTCCAGTGAGTCTCTTTGGTTGATAGGAAGCACCAAAAATGCACCTACATTTCGAGTGTCAAGTCCTATGAAATGTGATGAATAGTATTGTGAATGTTTCGTGAAATAAAGAGTCCCCTGGTAATACCAATCATATTTTCTTGTGATTCGCATTGTTACCTAGCGAGACATGAATGTGACATCCCAGGGATCTTTATATTTACTGAAATATAAGGCACAGAATAATTACTTTTGGGTGTATGATAAATTGACATTCATCATACAGAAGTCTATAAAAATCACAAGTTTCCATCGTTCAAGTTTGAACCCCCTGATTGGGTATGAAAGTGTTGAAAAGGAATATTCTCAGATAAATTATGAACATACAAAAATGGATATATATTTATATAAAGCAATACATTGAGAATTCGCATTCTCTATGTGATGAGAATATTTACTCTTTCTCATATACATATTTTTATCTGAAGGAGAATGCAAATTCTCAATTTCAGAAGTTTTTATATTTTATTTTCAAACTCTTATCGTGTGTGTTCAATAGATATAATTCAATGTTCGTCGTGGCATATAGCCAGGAAAGTAGTTGTTTTCTATTGAATCAACTGAGAAAGAGTAAATATTCTCATCACATAGAGAATGCGAATTCTCAATGTATTGCTTTATATAAATATATATCCATTTTTGTATGTTCATAATTTATCTGAGAATATTCCTTTTCAACACAGAATAATTAGCCAACCTTTATATAATTCAATATGATATGTAATTAGAAATGAAGTATAATCGAATGTACTCTGTGGCATACCATCAATAACTTTTATGTTGAGCATTGAAACCATGTAATAAATTTTATGTTTATTATTAATCATTTTTCAGGTTCCGGGTATATTTGCTACCCTTGAATAATTCAGCTACAAAGAAAATAGTTGAAGGGTCTGACCATTGCGATATCTATCAGATCCAGACAAGTATTGAACATCAACAAATGGTAGATGGTTTGATTAAATTCATAGAAACTGCAGTGAATAAAATAAAAAGATCTACTATACCAAAGAAACCTAGGGTTTGTGAATTTTTCAATAATACACCATTTTTGCATTATTTTTTAGATTAGTGGCCTTCATTCATAATGTATTAACTTATTACGCATGTTCTAGCTGCTTACACTTCGTTTCTGCATGTTGTAGATGTCACTGAGCATATTAAGTTTACCACCACTGACGCAGCCTAGACGTAACAGTATGAGCAATTTTCATCAGGTATAATGATCATTCTATTTATTTCAATTCTGGTAAATTTATGACTAAATACCTAAATATCTGCATATATATAATATAATATATATATAATATAATATATATATAATATATATATAATATATATATATATATCTACACACACTGGCACAATTAGGGGAACGGTCAAAATGTACACTAAGTTTGACATCAATTTTCTTTCGAACCGATCGCTCGATTCGGATTTTTTCTTCACGAAATGTAGCTTCATTCTTCACGAATACATCTGAGAAATAATTACCTTCAAACGATGAGTCTTTCCATCATATACAGGGCTGTAAAGGAAGTACGGATTTTTCGGTATTTTTTTTTGACATCCTGTGGACTGAACCACTGATAATTGAAACGATTTCTCAACACCAAATTGGAGCCCAATCTATTCCGAATATTCTCGTTTTTTATTCATCTTGATATCTCAATTATTCAAGAAAATACAGAGTTTCAAAGGAAAGGTGGATATTGGTATCAATTTTACACCTCAAAACTCAAAATGGATCTGAAAATGTGTCGTTTCTTGACTAACCTAACCTAACAGTGACTAAACCTCTGCCATAGGAGACAGAAGCAGTAAAATCAAATTGTTCATTTTGTTCACCTCGGCGATATAGTCTTTTCCTGCCATTTATTGAATTGGTGCAGATGCGGCTCTCATATGTTAAAAGAACATTGGCCCACTGGTCATTTTCAATTAATGCTACAGCCCTCGCCACATCAGTAGGAGTCGAATCTCTCATGTTGAATTTTCATTAATCAAATTTATGAATTGTGAATCGCTTGACTTTGACAATAATTAATGACATTAACAAAATAGCCAACGTTGATTAACAAAAATAGCATTTCACCAAAAGAACATTGGAGCAACTTTTATCACCCCTGCATATTCATGAGAGTATTCGTATATGTGTTTTCAAACAGTAAACCGATAGGTGAAACTGTGAACAATTCTCATCTTGAAGTAAAAATCCTCACAGAAACAAGTTGAAAAACGACACGTTCTTCCCAGTTCGAGTTTCGAGGTGGTAAAATTAATACCAATATCCACCTCTTCTTTGAAACTCTATATTTTCTTGGATAATTGGGATATCAAGATGAATAAAAAACGAAAATATTCGGGATATATTGGGCCATAATTTGGTGTTGGAAAATCGTTTCAATTATCAGTGGTTCACTCCACAGGATGTCTTAAAGAATACCGAAAAATCCGTACTTTCTTTACACCCCTGTATATGATATAAAGACGAATCGTTTGGAGGTGGTTATTTCTCAGATGTATTCGAGAAGAATGAAGCTACAATTCGTGAAGAACAAATTTGAATCGAGTGATCGGTTCGAGAGAAAATTGATGTCAAACTTAGTGTAAATTTTACCCGTTCCCCTAATTGTGCCAGTGTGTGTATATTAGATATTGAATGCCATCCGAAATTTGGTTGGAGTCGCATATCTGATTGAGAGATACGCTGTATAGATACTAACTGATTGTTCATTCAGTTGGTCGCATGCAGTAGTTTATATAGTATAACAATCATTCAACTCAATATTAATTACGTGTTGAGGATGAATTCGAAGAAACCTTCACTGGAATAAGTTCTTATTTTCCTTTTAATTACAAATAGAACTTCAGAAGTATCCAGTTTGGCCCATCCTGTACATTCCAAAATACTCAACAATTTTCTTTATTATTCTGCTTTCGACCTTCCTGTACAAATTTATCTAGACCGTTGCCAGAATGGTTGATAGCTGATGACTGATTATAGTGAGGGGGGTAGTGACAATTGTTGATTTGAGCTATTGAAGCTGCTGGGCGGGTGAAAGGATGATGATTTGATGATTTTCACTTGTTTTTGAAATCTATAGTAGGGGGTACTTGATGAATGCCTTCAGTTTATTTCAAATTATATCAGTTATGTACGTACATAATTTTGACCATAATTTCATACATACCTTGCTCGATACTAGGCCACACCATCATGCTTCTTGAGACAAAATTAATAACTGATAATGTGATAATATACCTAGTTTGCTTCTCGACTCTCTCGCCCATCAGCCATCAGTCACTCTGGCAACGGTCTACTTCCATTCGTTTTCTGCTTACTTTTCCATTATCCAAGAAATACTGTATGTATTATATGTTCGGTTTTCCAGAGAGGCTACTCGCCCTTGATACTTATCTGTTTCCATAGATTTTGAGATACAGGGCGGCCATTCGAAAACGAAACAGAGGCTCTGTAGGTCACCAGAACCGAAATATAATGGAACACTGGAACACGTCAACTACATTTCCGAAGGGGACATCGTTCTAAAATATTTTCAGTGCTGCCGCATTTCCGCTTCTATGGAAAAATAGCAACGACTTTGTTATTACAAATTGATGACCTCTCATTTCACTGCATTCTCAGATGCTCCATAAAGTGCTGATTTTATCAATACATCACACTTCGGGTCTAGCGGGAATGATAACAGAGATATGGGGGTTCAAAATAGAGATTTTTCGACTAGAAAAATGTTCTGTATTGAAACTAATCATCATTGGTCAAAACGGCTCACACGTCCCTATCTTAACTTTTGATTTACTATCTACCGGCATTTAATCGGAATATATACAGGGTGGTTCAAGATTCAGAATTCTGATCACCCTGTATCTGTTCAAACTAAATGCCAGTAGATATTAAATCAAAAGATGAGAATGCCGTTTTATAGTTTCGACACAAAAAATTCCTATATTTGAAAAATCTTGATTTTGAACACCTTATATCTTATAATTCACCAAGCTAGTAGGAAAGCAATGAGACTATAATAAAAAAAATCTCAGGTTCGCGATAAAACTAGATTTTATTCGTATCCAATGAGAAAAGCACAAAGTCATCTCCACGAATTTTCAATTTGAAAACATCGAATTAGGAACATGTTTCGGACATATGCAATGTCAATCTTCAGCTCATGCTAAGGAGTACTGGGAATGAGAAGGTTACGTCACATTTTCTAAAAAAATATTGATAAGAAAGGGTTATGTCCGATACATTTTCCTTATTTGATGTTGTCAATTAAAAAGTCGTGGAGATGACTTCGTGGTTCTTTCATTGAATTCGAACCCTATCACTTCACTTCGAGCTACAATGGACTAAATTGTTCTAAAATTGTTCTTATCCATCATTCCCCAATCAGCACAAGTACGTCTTATGGACGTTTTAAAAACGTCCACTCTGGACATTCAGGACGTTTTGGGGACGTCCATTTCCGGACGACGGACGGCTTATGGACGTTTTGAGGACGTCCATTGTTACTAATCAGGATGTTTTGGGGACGTCCAGTTTAGGTCCAGACTAGGACCTTTTTGGTATGAAAAATGGACGTATTGAGGACATTCAGACAATATTGATTATTGATTTTCTGACCCATCTGAAGAGTGAAAAACTTGAATATTAGTTAACATTTATTCGCAAACAATAATATGAACAGAGATGCAGCTGCACCACTAAAGACGTCGCGTGATTCATCCAGGTACGCATGCGCGATTATGTATTTTTCTGATTGGCTGCCTTATGTTGTCTTCTTCACTGGATCTGTAAATGATAATAATATTCAATAACATCTTTTGTCAATACCATAAACCATAAACACACACCCACTTTCAACGTGTAGTAGTCAGTATAGCGGAAAACTTCATTATTTTTATTTCATTAAGAACTTATTCCATAAATAAACTGATTCTTAGGTAGCTCTATGAACCTTGCACGAATTATATTATGTTTTAACTATATACAAAAATATAAACTTTGGTAGATGATGGAAATAGGATTAGGTAGAGCTTTGCATGAGATCAAAATATTTAGTATCTAATGTTTTCAACTCCAGATTTGATGTTCTTACTCGAGCATCTTCATGCGAATGAAAATAAAACGATAGCGTCGATAGCCATACTTGCCTTCATGCTGCTGTTAGCACAAATAAACATCTCGATGGAACTCGAGATCGAAGTTCACCAGTTGATAGATGATATCCGCAAAGATTTCACTTATTCACTGCTTTTACAGTCAAATAACCCGAAAAGTTCAGAATGTCCTTGGACCTGAATCACAGTTTAATCGGCACTCGGCAGTGGTCAACTGACGGACGCCATCTTCCCATTTCCCTTTCTCATCATCTTACGATTTCGTTTCACACGTAACACGCACAGTGTTGCCGGATGAAAATTTGTCGAAGCAGTAGATGGGTGGGGAAAAAACAGTACATCATCAAAACTGAACAGAAGATTTTGACAATCATCACAATTTGCTATTATAATTGGAAAAACATAGTCACCTATATAATGAACGAAAAAAAAAATCATGTTCGGTCTCTATACCTATCAAAAATCGAACGAAGAATAACAAATAATAATGAAATAAAAAATAAAATTTGTAAAAACCGCAACCAGGTCGGAAATAAAAGCTAATTTTTACTAATCAGACTGAATAAATGATAGTTGCAGTATATTTTCATCATACATCTTCTCACTGTGATGTCCCATCAATTTTTCATTTTTGCATATTAGGTAGTTACGTCATATCAAAACATGACCAATCAGACCATTGCTTTGAATAGTTGAACAGTAGAACGGACACAAAAACAGTAGATCTAATGCTAAAATAGTTAGTCTGGCAACGCTGAGCACGCATGCGTTCTACGGTTGCTTTACATATTCAGTGATTCAATCAAATCTTATTATAAAAGCGCGGCTTGTATAAAAACTTCAGTGTGGGTTTAAGAATGGTCAAACTGTATAATAGGTATTATGTGATTGAAGTAATATAATTCAACATAACTATATAAGTAGGTACAAATCAGTTAAAATCATAAATATTTCAAATTCATAATATTAATAATAAAATGAAATTCAATATATTGATACAGCTGATAAATAATATATTTTTTGACATCATTTATGTCCATATTCAATTCAATAATTCTAATTTCAAAATAAATAT